ACGCACGCACGCACGCACGCACGCACGCACGCACGCACGCACGCACGTACGAATGTTGAAATTGAAATTTACATTTCAAATATCCAGGTGCACATTTATCATTAATGATAGAGTAAAGAGTGGAATGTATTCTTAAATCACGGCGCTGGCGAATCGTAAGCCACTTCCGCTCATTGCGACTTGCGGACACGTGATCAAATTTTTGAAGACCATAAATAAAGCGAATGCTACTATTGAGCAAGCGATCCAATTTCCAATCCAATCCATCGTCTATTCTGCCCATTATACGTCCAACGTCTGGGTACAAGTCCATTCGATTGGTTGATTTTTGAAAATTTGTTCACACATAGGTACACTAAATTTGGCAGCATGTATATTAAAAATACAAATAGAAGACATATTTTAAAATTTTTAATTTTAATTTAATATACATAATAAAATCCGCCTGTCGTTATTGAAATGTGTATGATTAGAAATTTACGAAAACTGGCCACCCTGCAAATGTCATTTTACTCCATCTTCAAAAAAGACAGACTTTAGAATATTAATTCAATTGCTGCTCATAGTACAGGGAACGTCCTAGTTTTAGCCTGCGTAGTAGGCAATTATCTGGCACTTTATTATGAATGGCACTTCTATAAAGCGAAACTTCGTTTTTACAACATTTAGAAATGATAAGATTAAGGTAAAGAATAATTTGGCCGAAATTAATGAAGAAATCTATTTACAGAGGTTCGTGCCTTTTGTTGCCGTTGCGACAGCCAACTGGGTAAACATACCATTAATGAGACAGAATGAAATTAAATATGGTGAGTTTTCAAGGTCTTTTTGTTAATCGTGGCGGTTAATAGTGAGGCGGTTACGGTCAGGGTTGTTGCTGCGGCACTTTTTTTTTACACATCAGCAACGCGGATGCTGATTTTGTACTTTAACATCAGCCGATGCTCACGCGAATACTTATTTTACGTATTTAGAAAAAAAATCGTGATATATTTACAGATCGTTATTGAATCTACGTTAAAAAGCTGATTTGGATTTTTCAAAGATTTTGTGCATTTGTGATAAAAAAATGAACATAAATAAAATCAATCAGCCTGCCCAGTTTATTAATTAAAATTTTCTCAAATACCTTTGAGAAACATTTAGAAAGACGGCCGAGCTGTCTATTTGCGCTTGCAGTCTGTGTCTAGGACTGCTACGCATAGGTCCCCAGGTTCGATTCCCGGGCCGAAGGGGGAGAAATATTTGCATGGCCTACATTTATTTCTTTCGTGAGTTTGGGTGTAATTTGTGGTTGTCTGTATGTGTGTCCATGGCACCCCCGACACAGGGTTTTCCTAGTGCGGGGCTATTTTGAGTGTGTGCGTTATTATTATTAATTTTAGGGTCAACAGATAAAAAAAGCACATAAGTATCATACATTTTTTTATTAAAAAAGCCGACCTCAAAAGGTTGTGGAATTACACGTATTTTCCAAATCGACCCCTCCTACGTAAAGTATCGTATGTCGAAATTGCCAAGTTTACAGGGGAGCCTTAACATACAATCGAATTGACAACCTCCTACTTTTTTTGAAATCTGACTCATCCGTAGAACAAAGGTCTATGTGCAAGACTACTTGTTCTCAGGACATAGTACATTTCGTTCGTTCTTCTTCGCTGTGGATATCAGATCGACTGTTGTTCGATTTTATATTTCCGAAACGAAATAAGATATGTAAAATAAAAACTAAATAAAAAATAAGATATATAAAAAATAAAACAGGCCTTAGTTTGAATAACGAAATTGTTCTCGTTAACGTACTTATTCTCTTTTCGCTATATAATTACATCGGACTCTGTTCTTCGGATGAGTTGATTTATATAAATCAATACAACGACGGACTGGAGTACATAAATCAAATTCATTTGTTTCAACTTAACTTCTAGTGTGGTCTTTTCCCTTATCATTCGCTTCACATTATTTATTTATTGAATATCATGTCATGATGTTTTACTATCATGATTTTCATATATTTTTTGTGAAAATACACCATTAGTTTTCAGGTTTTCGCTATTGTTATACGTAGGAAATGAAACTATTTTTCGTATCTAAATCTCGAGTAATTGTTTTTTCAAACAAAACGTGACCACGAGAACTGTAAAAGACCCGAAACGTTAGTTTGTTAGCAAAAATAAATATACGCGATTTCGATCCGAAAAAAAGGTTAATTTCCACTAGTTTGTTATTATTATTGATAAAAAGATTGAAGACAACGAAAAATTCCTTCTATCTTATTAGACACGAACCAGTGTCTGTTGCCATGCCGGGACCACCGCTCTTAACACCTTCGTTGCCGGCAAAAGTGTTCAAAAAGTGACAGTTGGTTGCTTTTGGTTTCATTACGTGAGGCGCACTATAAGTTAATGAATAAGAAAAAAATACTATAAATGGTCAGAAATGAATTTATTGTTTCTCAAAATATTCTCCGTTAGCGTTAATGCACTTTTTCATACGAATGAACCAATTTTGAAACACATTTATGCCACTCCTCCGTGACAATTTCTGAAACATATTTTTCATACTCTTCGGCAGCCTTTTCAGGTTATGGAAATCGTTGACCGCGTAACTGGTTCTTAATTTTTGGAAATAAATAAAAGTCACAAGATGCCAGGTCGGGACTGTACGCGGGATGGCTCATAAGGTCAACGTTGTTCACTTTCAAAAATTCATTTGTCTGTCTGGCCGTGTGAGAACTGGCATTATCGTGGTGCAAGTTTACGGTTATTTTTACGGAGTTTGTCAATAACTTCCGCCAAACAAATGATCGTGTATCAATCACTATTCACGGTACAACGATTCGCCAAAGCAACAGTACCCACGTATCCAATTTTATTAAAAAAAGGAGCAATCATCCGCTTAGAGGCACTTTGTACGCGCGCCACTTTGGTTGGTTTCGGCTCATCTCGAAAGACCCATACGCTCGATTGCTGCTTTGTTTTGGGATCGTAACTATAAATCCATGTTTTGTCACCGGTTACTATGTCCTACACCAAATTTGACGCCCCTTTGTTGAATCTGGTAAGCATGGCATTTGTACCAAGTGACGCGATCCGTTTTTTGAGCCTCGGTCAAATTGTGTGGGATCCACCGGGAGCACAGATTTTTCACACCCAAATGTTTGTGTAGTATTGATTGTATTTGACTCATGCCTATGCCTAAAGATGACCGAATCTCATGCAGCAGTGGACTGGCGACAATCACGAAATTCGTCACTGAGATTCAAACGACCGAGTTTGATTTCTACAAACCAGTTATAAATAGTCGTCTTGCATGGTGCTTCATCGCCCAAAACAGTTTGAAGCCGAACGAAGCTTAGCTAAGCTGAGCATTACACTTAAAGTCATAGAAAATCATACTACGAAAATTTTCACGAGTTAAATCCAAGGTGATGTAGACAACCAATTTCTAAAATGACGGCACATTGTAAAAGTAAGTGACAGTCAGATGAAACAATCTGTATTCTACAGCCAAAGAGTTCAATTTTCAAATGTTGTCATTACTTTTTAAATATTGTTTATGTAAGTGGCCAATACGGGAAACTTATAGTGCGCCCTATGTAGTATATGTATGTAGTTTTTTCGCGATATTTCATTATTTGACTCTATTTCGGGGTTTTTTTTGTGCCGGGCATTTCAAGCTTGCGCGGCCTAAATAGTTATTTGTTATGCATGGCTGCAAAGTTGTTATTTGACGCGAGTGCTTGTATTCAAACCTGAGCAAGTGCAAGATTGTAATTGTCAAAAATAGATCACTGAGCGTAGCGAGGCTTTCAGGGCAAGAGACGCGGAAGAACTTTGCTGCCGAGCGAAACACACAACTTTTCACCTCACTATAGCGAGGAAAATGGTAGATGAAAGAAAAAGAAAAAGATTTGGAAACAAAAAATACTTTAACTGAATTTAAAAGTTACAAAGGTTTTTGAAATTCGAACTTGACGATGATCGTGCTGGCCTTTGTAGTCACCGTTTCACTACCTGCCGAATTCCATGGCATACTAAAAGGTCCGGTGACTCCTTTCTCTGCCGCACGGTTGACAAATGGAACTCCCTTCCGGCACATGTCTTCCCTCCCTCTTATGATATGGGGTCCTTCAAACGAGGCGTGAAGAGGCTTATTGTAGGCAGGCAGGGTGGAGGTGGCTAGTGCAGTGAGGATTTCATCGCTGTACTAGGTTCCTTCGCGTGTGGATACCACTTTCCACTTAACATCAGGTGGAGTGGAGTCATTTGCCTGTCATGTATATATATATATATATATATATATACATAAAAAAAAAGAAAAACAATTGAACTATAAAACATCAGGTTTTTTAAATGAAAAGAAAAAATGCGTTCTGAATTTACACCTCATCAATTTTTATTCTTGCTTGTACTTTTATTTTGTGTGATTAAGTGATTATGGAAATTATTTTAGTTCTTCAACGAATTAAATAATTAAATAAACACAATTAGTAACCATTGTCAATTTAATGTTAACAATAATAAGAATGAAATATACCAACGGATTTATATTACATAAATAAGTAATGTACGACAAGTCGCTTATTTGAACGTGTTATTTTTTTTTTTCAGTCCATCGTCAAGTTCGAATTTCAAAAACCTTTGTAACTTTTAAATTCAGTTAAAATATTTTTTGTTTCCAAATCTTTTTCTTTTTCTTCTAAGTCTCGAAAAGTATGCCATCGAAAATCTTAAAAACCAAGTGCAACAGAAGTTCGTTAGTGCCGCGCCGGTGACGTTCTAAGGCTAAATATGTTTGCCACCTGCGGCGTGAACGAGCATTGTAAAATTAGATGCCGGTAATTTGACAGTGCAGAGAAACCTTCTAAGTTCAGGTTCTGACCCCGGACAGCCATCTAGCTAGTTTCTGGGGTCAGAACTTGAACTTAGAAGTGAACGTGCCTGCAGTTCCAATACCTACCTAGGTACCGGAGCTGTAGGCACGTTCACTTTTGATTGCGCATTGCACAACTAACGGTTGCCACTACTAAGTCGTCGAATCTAAAGTCCACTACCAAATCTCCTCATTGGTGGCGGAGCTGCAAGCCACGCTCTCTTCGCGACAAACAACAACAAAGAGACAAAGGCGTGAAAAAAGAGACGTTTGTCAAGATCGTTTTAATAGCAGTAGAGCTCCTTATCTATTTCTGCCGCCAGGCAGTAATGTGGGCATTACTGCGTTCCAGTTTTGAAGGGTAAGGACGCTGGTGAAATTACAGTGGGACTTGTCAACTTATGCCCCAAGGTGTTGGGCGCAGTGGCAGTGCCCCTCAGATCTTTGCGATTTAAAGCTCTGCGTGGCACTACAACTGTTATGGACAGGCTTGTCGCTTTCCACCAGGCGCACTACTTATTCATCCCGTCATTTTGTATCATAAAACCAAAATTGTGCTAAGTGACGATTGATAGTATCTGTCTACTCTAAAGGGAATCCAAAGGCGAGAGTATAAGTAAGGTGGTATTCACCGGCAATGCATAGTTACCCGGGGTCTGGAACTCAGGTTCTAGAACCGGCGAACGACACAACGTTACTTAGACGTGCCTTATCGAGCATTACCGCTTATTATAATTATGAAGTTAGTTTTTACGATCGTGAGGTTATGATTACAACGCAAGTCAAGAAGAATAACTGTGTGTAGGTCTGGTATGCAATATCACGTTTTTCTCGTCGTTTACCTTTTTATATATAAATATAACTTAAAAAAAATAAAATATAAAATAAATAACGCGCACACTCAACATAGCCCCGCACTAGGTAAACCCTGTGTCGCGGGTGACTCACGAGAGAAATAATTGTAGGCCATACAAACATTTCTCCCGGCCCGGGAATCGAACCTGGGACCTCTGCGTGGCAGTCCGGCATGGTAACCGTTCGGCCACAGAGGCAGTTTGCTTCGCAAGAATGCTTTTTTAGATATTTATTTGTTGTTTTATAGGACTGGAAGTGACAGACGAGCATGGCAAGGTTGTAGGTAGATCACAATTAGCACCTATGAAAGGAATTGCGCAGGTTGTCACGTCTAGGTGAGTACATATCTAATATCATTATGCATCATTTTGCGTTATTAAAATCGTCGGTCATATAGACAATTGCGGTTCCAAAGAAGTACTTGTTATATCTTTCGTTGATACACAGGTGCATAAAAACTCCCAAAAAATAGTGAATTTGCTGTATAATTTTGAAAATGCGATAAAGATGGTTACAGTTCAGAAGTCGTAAAGCGATTGAATGACGTGACAGTTATGCCGTAGACTAAGATACACGCCTTCGTAGATTAAAGAGCAATTCGCCGTTATTGAGTAACCGCTTCCATCTGTAAGAAAGTGCTCCGCCTGAACAGTACTTATCCTTAATATAGCAAACGCTGGCCGTGGGAAAATCTTGAGTGTTCTATATTTGGTATTGCAGTCAAACCTTATCAGGTTACAAGTAACGAACAGATTGTCAATGATCGTGTAGTTGCTATATATATGTCATATTACTATCTCTTTAATCAACAAATATATTTCTTTGGCGCACTGATTGTGATTTTTATCTCTTTGAAATATCCGGTAACCGGCTAGATATTCCTATTCCTAGTATCTGGTATCTGGCCGGATAATAAAATTAGGCCAGACATGCCGGATATCCGTTTCATCTCTACTTAATGTTAATTTTGTCTTATTACAAGGACTATATAGGATATTTAATCTTATTAAAATAAATAAATGACGTATGATCATACTTATCAGTTCATTCAGTGATTCACTTGAATTTAACAGACATCCGAAGAAGTATTCAGTTTTTACAAACATTTTGCAAAAAAAGCTGTATTTTTATATACCGATACCGATCGGTGGGTCAAATAAGTACTTTCACTCTATGACCCAAAGTCGTGAGACGTCCTGTATAATATGAATTTTAAAAGATTTTATCGTTATCTAAAATAGCTAAACTCTAGCATGTTAACTGACTCGTAATGTTAGTTAACTGTCGTGGTAATTAAGGGGCCTCATGGATCGCGTGGCCCATTTTGCATAATGATGACACTATGTGGATTCAAGGTGCCAAAATAGATTATTAAAAAAACAAGTGGATCCGACGCGATTTATTAATAATAAACTTCCACTTTAGTTGAGTTTAATGCTGTAATAATTTGCGTATGCAGGATAATAATGTGTGCGCCGGGTATGTTGCTGCTGCCCGTCATCATGGAGCAGCTGGAGAAGAAGGAGTGGATGAAGCGCATGAAGTGGGCGCACGCAGGCATACAAATAGCTGGAGTCGGCGTGTTGTAAGTATCGGCCTTACGCTCACTTGAAAGTTAAAACTCCTAATTTTCTGTCGAAATTTATGAAGTGTGTTGATTTGCATTCTCGCCATATTTAAGAAATTAATAATAGAAATAATGGTAAATCATCTAAAAATATAAAAAAATATATATTCTATAATAATAATAATAATATTCTGTTCAATATTCTGGCTAATTGTATCTAGTAAAATTTTGTAAAATTGTCCCCAAGTGTATTCACCGCGGAGGACAGTGACCCCGCCACTCACTTCACCGAGCGATACGTAATGTTTCTCGATCGCTTATTTACCTATTTTTTTAAATTATGTTTATGTACTAGTATTGTTATAATTTACTAATTATTGGAAAAAAGATTTTTTGTAACTTAGATTTGGTACTTACTTTAGTAAGTACCAAACATTGTAAGTTACATGAAAGTATTGCTAGAAGTATCTAGCTCCACAGAGAGTTTCGTTTCAACTTAGCACGTTCTTCACAACAGAAAAAGCAGAAAGAAACCAGAGACGGTTTTTGCGCGTTATTCTTCGACACTTGTAATCTGTGTAAACTAAACGTTTCACATCATGCCAAAAGAATGCACTTGATGGTAATGCAGGGTCTGTTTCAGGGTGTTTTTATTTGCACTAACTCTTGTTTACATACCAAACCGTGTTGAATTTCGTGAGAAAATAGAACGTACGCGCAATGTCAGCGGTACGTAAACGCAATACGCAAGGTCGACTGATGATCTACCAATCACGCGTTCGATACGATACTCCCCCCTAATTGTTCAAATGGTTGCCGGTACCACAGCACGTGTAGTGCAAGTCAATGACCTTTGGATCAAGCATAGTTACCGAAATTAAATAAAAAATAAGAATTTAGGAATTTTTTTTTTCCATTAATTTTATTAGTGATTTGGGTTCAGTTTCGGATATAGAATGAGCTCTGTAAATATGGCGTGAATGCAAATCAACACATTGTTTATTATACTTATTAGGTATAATCAATATAAATAATCTACACACAATTCTAAAAGCGCATTCCCTTGTGGTTTTCAATCCAACATCTTTCGCTATTGTACGTCGACAGCATCATGTTTATCCACCTTTTGCCGCTAGCAGTAGTTTTGCTCAGTGATTCTTTTGTTTTTTGAGTGGGTTCTTGTATAACAAAATAAACCATTCACTAGTGATTTATGGGCTTTGCAGATTTGATTGCAAACATGTAGTGTCGAATTGGTTGTTACGACTTGACTATTCCATGACTGAAAGTCTTCTTACCGTTCCCAGTTAAATCTTGGTAGCGCGTTCTCTCGCGTGCGTTCATACACACATACTCACACACATATACACACATATACACATACATCTACATCACACACTTGGCTTCATAATTTTTGATTTGTTTACATTTGTTTGTGTACCATTTAAGTATATGCCATAATTTTCACTTCGTGTGTAGTTGAGCCAGTAATTTTATATTTATAATCTAACAAAACCCTTTTGCCTTTTTTTCTCAATCACTTTTATTTTGATTATATTCTGGTTGGAATGTTCTGTTGGGTGAGTGCCTGGTGATCTGTAATACAGGTCTAGTAACCTAGTACGGACTCCAGTCTCTCACAAAGGCCGATTATGTAATTGTTAGTTATAATGTTTAAGTTATACCTTTGTGTTTTTTGAGAAAATAAATCATATATTATTATTATTATTATATTATTATTATAATAATAATAGGCATGTATAATGTATTTAAATGATCATTTTAAATTTGCAAAAGCGCAGGCAAAAAATCTAAACGGTCATCTTTTTTAATGATTGATCCTATTTCTCTGAGACATAAAATAAATTAAATCAATCGATATTTTAATATGTTCTCAGCTACCCAAAAAATGTTTGATTTGTATAAATTAACTTTGATAGTTTTATGTTGGGCCTCAAAACTAAGACAAATGGGCATTAAAAATAAAATTTGTATACTTATTTTTAAAACTAAGTAAATGTTGATTATATTTGTATACTAATATTATATTAATTATAATATAATTTGGTCTGAAAACATGTTCGGAAACGCAAGCAAATTGGCTTCTTGTATTTTTTTGCTTTTTCATATACCAGCTTTTTTTTTTGTTAATCCGAGGGAATCTGCTTACAGATACCCCGGCCCCGCGGGGGCAGAGCCGGGGTTATGTGGGACTGGGCTGAACCCTGAAGGGGAGCAGCCCGACTGCACTAAACCCCCGTAGTGTTCCTCCTCTCCGCTGTAGGTGGGGGTACGGGTACGCTGTTGCACTCGTCCGCGCCTCCACCAGCGGCTGGCCGCGCCCTGCGCAGCCCCTCCCCGAGAAGGGAGACACATCGGTCCCCCGACTCCGAATGTGAGGCTCGCCGAACACCAGACGAGCCTTCCATCCCGGGCCCCTTTATGCTAGGCAGCGAACACCCCCGAGTCCGCTACCCAGGGGCCATGACAGCATCCACTCAACTGTGAAGTTTAGTGGCTGCTCCCCCAGCCCCCGCGGCGGATCTGATGACAGGCTCCGCTGCAACACCTAACGCGCTTCCGCGCGGACTCTCCGAAGAGAGTCCCTTGGAGCGCCCACCACGGGCCAACCGCCCACGTTCGGCCGCGGAGGATAGGACGAACGGCAACGATACACCGACACGTCTCTTCCCCCGCGGCCCCGCCGCCACTGCATCGTCGAAAGCGGTGCAGTCCCGCCAGTGTCGCGGAGGACAGGACGAGCGGCAACGATACACCCTCAACGCCCTCCTCCTCGGGCCAGCCTATCACCATCGGCCGGCCCCGTGGGTTCCACTTAGTTTCACCGTGGGATGAAATCGACCACGGCTACTAGAGCCCTCCCGCCACCACAAGGCGGGAACCCCTTTTGGTCATATACTAGCTAACCTAACCTACTGAATGGAGGTCGCAACCAAGCAATCAAGATTTATTAATTAGGAGATCAATATCAAAACATATATTGGTTATAAATGTCATCAATGATTTGAAAAAAGCAGTCGAGCTCCTTGTGAAAGAGTTCATCCAGGGAAGTACTGCCACCTTATCTATTTCTGCCGCCAAGCAGTAATGTCAGCATTACTGTGTTCCGGTTTTGAAGGATAAGGGGATTGGTGAAATTACTGGCACATGGGACTTATCAACTGATGTCTCAGGGTGACAGGCGCAGTGGCAGTGCTTCTCAGATCTTTGCGATTTAACCAGATGGCTGTCGAGGAATCTTCGAACAGAGTAGGCTGTATGTTTCGGGTCATTGTCACGCTGGAATGTCCAAATTACCGGGAGATCATCAGCATCATCAGCATACAGTAGCATGCATCTCTCAAGGATGTGTGTCCATATTACCTTGTATCAGCCTAGTAGGCCCTACGCCATAACCAGATAAGCAACCCCAAATCTTAATGTTTCCACCACCGTGCTTTACCATCTTTTTCGTATATTTTGAATTAAACGCCATATTCTTAGGTCGGCATACGTACTGCTTGCCATCAGTGCATAGTCTGTTAATTTTAGATTCATCCGTGAAAAGTACATACTTCCTCTGCGCCTCTGTCCAATGTTCATACTTCTTTGCAAACGCAAGTCGGGCTCGTCTATGTCGAGGTGTCAACATGGGCACCTTCCTTGTTACTTCACTTACCAACTACACTTCCTAAATACTATATATATATAACACTTACTACACTTCCCAAATAAGTGTGCCTTCACCAAGCGTCTTGGAAATTTGAGCCTTTCAATGGATTCTGCTGAGCGAGATTAACTATTCTTGAATATTCTCTTGGAGACGTTTTTCTTGCTTTAGGTTTACGGGGAATATTCATAGTTGTTTTGTGTGTGTTTAAAATGTTTCACGGCCTGATACACCTTTGTTTTTGAGATGAAATGATCTGCAATTTTCTGATATGATCACTTACGGCCACGCAGCTTTGTTATAACTTCTCTTGTAGCAGAGTCACAAAATGTATTTTTCCCATTATTTTCTATAAATAATTGCATGAAACGTTCTTAAATCAACAATGCCGCGCATAGGACATAAAAATAGTAATGAAGAATTATCGCATTCCATTTTCAAAATAGTAAAAAAGAAAATTATATTTTTGTTATTAATTATTTGTCCAGCCAGTGTTTCGGGAAGTAACTGAGTGATTGTGATATAATAAATAAAAACATATATAGGTACCATTATTTAAACAAGATTATTACGCAAAATAAAATAGGTCAATCCAGATAATATTGTTTAACACCATCAGAGCATATTTTTAAATTAATTCTACACTTAATGGTTATTGCCATTGACTTACAAATAAATGGACGACGGGTCTAATACAAAAATCACGAAAAAAATGTCCCAAGTCAACCTATTTAAACGCAGTGACATGTAAAAGAATATGAAAAAGCTAAAACGTTGAATTTGAATTGTAATGTCATCGCAGTACTGTCTAATTTTGCTTTCTTCGCTGTCAGTCGAACAAACGAAGACTAAAGCGTGAATGACGCTCTGTATACGATTTTAACGCCCTATAAGTTCGGACACTTTTTAGCGCGGACCCGACGTCCATATAATTGGAAGTCAATGGTTATTGCAAAATAATAATGGCTTTGTGTCATTAATCGTTCTTAATTCTATGACCACCACTGTATATCAAACAAAAAAAGCAATAGTTCAATTATAACTTTGAGGATCAAAATACATTATCCCATAATAATAATAATGTGTCAGCCATCCACACCACTTACCTGGTCTTAAACCAGGGAATTCCTTGACCTATGAGTAACGGAATTAATTCCCAGAACACCCAGACTAGAACCAATTCAGAAAAGTTCATTTCCCAAATTTTGCTTCGTATTTCGGCTATCGTTGGATTTTTTTTCAATTGCTCTTTGCACATGTTTATCTACGGGGTATTTTTTGTTTCCAGCCTAACCTTCATGGTGCCCTTGGCTTGTGCAGTTTTCCCACAGAGATGGTAAGTTCTTGGACGATTTCTAGTACTATATTCTTAACCGGTTAATTGATTTTTAATGGTATTGTTGTCGTGCAAGAAGCTGCTTTAATCTCCAAAATTTAAAACTGGATGAACCTACATTGTATAACAAACTTTTTGGGAAGTCCGAAGTGACATTATTTTCAGTGTTATAACAAATATAAGTGTCTTAACAATACCATAGCTGTCTCGCATGAAATTGATTTACCATTCAAAGTCTCAAACTAAATGAACCTGCAATGTTTGGGAAATTTATTTTTTGGGAATATCCAAAAAGGATATTCCCGAACTGGCATCAGCTTCTGTGTCATAATCAGTCACAAAGTGTCTTATCAATAGCACAGGTATCATGTACAAAACTGCTCTACTGTTCATAATGTCAAATGAACTAATTATTTACTTATTATTTAATTATTTACTAATTATAATAGTAACTAATTATTTTTAGCAATATCCACAAAAATGGATACAAAACCGTAGATTGGTTCTCCATACACAACTATCATCCCCTATTCTCCCCTTTTAAGATCTATTTTTGTGACAAAAAGTAGCCTATGTCTTTCTCCTAGATCCCTTTATCAATATTGGTTCAGCGGTTTAGGTTGAAAACCTAACAGACAGGTGTTACTTTCGCATTTATAAGTACATACATCAAAGTGTCTACGCATCGAGCACGTTTTTGCTAATTACTGAAAATCAGGATTTTTCAATGAATTCTTTTTAACATCAACAGATTTTGGTCAAATTAAAAAAAAATTCAAATCAGAAATTGGAAAATCCATTGGTGTTAAGAAAAAACCAATTAAAAAAAACCTGATTTTCAGTCATCAGCAAGAACGTGATTGATCCCTAGACACTTGATGCGTGTATTAATATGGATTATTATAATTGTTTCTAATATTACAATAATTTTTTTTAGTAAACTCGCAACAGACACAATCAAGAAATACGAAAAGGAAAATTACGACCAAATAGTAATGAATACGGGCGGAAATGTGCCGGAGTATGTGTATTTCAACAAGGGTTTGTAAAATATGAGGTTAAGATAGCGCGGATTAGAAAATTGAGAATATTTTGTAGTTACGCTCATTTCTTTTATAATATCTACAAAATTACTGTTGCCTAAAACACTGTAGTGTAGGCCTAGATTAAGACGCTGAAGATATTATAACGATATGTGTATTTGGCGGACTATTTTGAAGTGATGCAAGAGTAAGATTTTTTCTGCGCATGCGTCATGCAAAAAAATACTAGAGAATGATAAAATTTAGGCACAGCATTTTGTTTTATAAAGAATTCGCACAGTAGAAATGCAAATAGCATGGAGAGCAAAACAATTATATAAGTAAGTATAATATTGGATATATTTTCTTATTTTGTTTATTTTGAAGAAATAATTTTATTATTACTTTTATTTTAAGAAAATGATTTTATTTTTTTTATTTTGAGAAAATAATTTTATTTTTATTATTTTATTATTTTGAGTAGTATTTTATCAAATTTTAGGCCCAAACCATTGTACAACCCCTACGCTATGGCTGCCGCGGTAGGGATAGACATAACTCGCATTTTATTTATTTGTGGAAAGGCGGCTAGTATAGAATGGTAGTTCGAAATAATTTCACTGCCCGGCCCACCATTAGGCATACAAATATATTAATTTTAAAATATAAATAATAATCAGTAGACTATAAAACTGATTTTTTTTTAAATTACTATGCTTTAAATACCACATGGGCGTGCAATTTGAAATGTCGTTTGGGAATTTTGTCGTAAGGGAAAATGTCTCTTACGACATTTAAAAACTCGATACGTCATCAAAATTATTACCTTTATATCGAAGGTTGACATTTGAAACGTAAAGAACATTTTGTCGTAAGGGATATTTTCCCCGAGGGCGCGTTCCCATTATGTCGTCACGATAGATAGAGTCCTGCAGTTTAAAATGTCGTG